CGCCTGTATATGTGTTGTTGTTATTGTTTACTCAATGTAAGTTTGTATGTGTTGTTGTTATTGTTTACTCAATGTAAGTTTGTATGTGTTTGTTGCATTGGTAGATTGTTCGTAATCTAGGCGTTACCAGATCGTCTAGAAACTTCTGTAGCAAGGGGCATATAAATAGAGGAAATGAAAAGGCAGTGAGTCAGTTGTGAATCAGATCGCGAATTGAAACCGTCGAGTAAAGTAAAGTGCAAAGTAAAGTTGTGTGAATAAAATCATTGTAATAATCGTAATCCGAAAGAACCCGCGTTTTATTTGGTACGAATTGTATCGGGAAATAAAACAACGTCTACACGGGATTAAGCAAAATCCAAGAACGTAACAATATAATATATAAAATTCTATTGACATATCTAGTTTGTACATTACCTTAAACAAAAAATGATGCCCCACAATAAAACTCCATTTAATTATCATTTCTTCAATCTTGTTTTTTTTTAATTATATTTTCGCAAAATACGTTTCTTTTTCTGGTGTTTTTTGTGTTGAGTGTGTATGTCGCTGTGTAAATCAAGTGGTTTTTTGTTGTAACAACAGCCACCATTCATAACAACAAAATGATGTTACAAGAGCTCTAATCTAAACATCCAACAAAACTGAACATTGAATTTGTGAAAAAATACAAAAAAAATAATTCTTAAGAAAAAAATGCTGTTTCTGGATGTACAAAAAGTTATTAGGCTGTTGTGCTAAATTGTAACGTATCTATATGTATATATGCATTATATATGTAAACTAATCATAAAATATAATATACCATTTCTGATTGTTTAATAATTATTTTCTGCATTTGCTTTTCGTTATTTTCTTTTTTCTTTTATATTCTTTAACTACATCTATAGATCATAATTTCTGTTTCTTTATGCTTTATTTTAGTATTAATTCGTTATTTTGTTGTTTGCAAATTAATATGCAATGTAAAAAAAACTTTAAAGAATAAACTAATAATTATAACGTAGTTTAGTAAAATAAATATTTTTTAAACTATTGCTTGCTTTTTTTGAAAAATTCTACAAAATAACAATATTTAGTTTCCATTTATTGTTTTGCTATACATTTATATATATACCATGGTAATGTGTATGTATGTATTTCGATTTTTCAGATTTGTTACTATTTTAAAATGTACATTATGGTGAGTTGCTTTTGTTTTATGTTTTTAAGTTAAATAGTTAACAATTATATTTCAGTTTGATTTAGGTAGGTTGTTTGTTTTGGTAACTATAATTTTTTTGGAAGTTGATTTTTATTTTTAGTTTTTTTTTTTTCAATAATAAATATAAGAAAATAAAACAAGTAACAGAATAAAATTATATATTAACCTGATTTTTTTTTTTTTTTTTGGGAATGTTTTATTTAAAGTGAATATTTATTTCCCCCCAAAAATTGTAAGAATTTAAAATTATATACCGGGGATTCTTAAGCAGACTGCGATAAGGTGCTAAAATTTCCCTGCAGGCAAGTCATACGTGAAGATGGGGGCTAAAACGGTGGACGTTTAGGCATATCCCCAAGGGAAGACCCGTTTTTAGATATTTTGCAACAAAAACTTCAGTGCTTTGAGAGTGTGTTATAGACTTGCAAAAACTAGCCGTATAGACTTTTAAGTCCATTTTCATAAGACAAAGGAAACCCATCTTCTACTTGATTTATGTTTGAAAGATTAATCGGTTATCTTGCGCACCAGGTGGCCAGACAGACCAACATTTGTAAATCGACACTAAATTGTCTGAAACGGATTTGGTCCAAAGAAGCATGGGGTCTTAAACCATTATTTCGATGAAGCGCATTTTTTGCCGTATCAATTTATTAAGGAAATTTGGCTACGAAAAACCCTGGATGAATGGGGAAATTCGGAACAAAGGTAAACAGATCAGAAGACTCAACAATTTTTGTAGTCTACTGGATTAACTTCCACGCTAAAAGGAATGACAACAACAAAATAGAAAAGTTTATGTGAACAGGTAGATAGCGTAAATGACGTCTCAAAAATAAAGAAGTTTCTATAAAAAAAAAAAAACAAACACTCAAACCGAAACCATGGGAGATAAGGAGGGAGACAGCCTAAGATTCCTCATGAAAGCTCAATTCCCCCCGAACAAATCGACATATGATAAAAGAGATTATGGAGACAGTTGCGTCCAAAGAGATTATGGAGACAGTTGAGTGGGTTTAGCAGGGCGGTTAAAGTGATGGAGCGTATCGTGAGATCCAAGTCCACACGCAGGGCATGTGTTTGGTAACTTGCTGTAAATTCGGGCCACTCTCGTTCTGCTGCTATAGGTGTTGGGTGGACTCCAAGTACTGCATTCACATGGTATTTGTCCATTGTCTGGGTCACTGCTTCCGTGTGAATGCTGGTAATTCCTGACCGATAATCCTATTGGTCTAGGGCTTATCTTTTATACCGTTGGACCTTTCTCTCTCCTTACATGCCGCTGTGGCGGAATTCTACCCATAAGATGATGGCATAGATGATTCCGGCGAAAACTCTCAAAAGGTACTGCTTCGACAACATCCTGTTGTGACGATGTGCCGTTTCTCATCATATCACAATTAGCTGTGGCTACCGCGGACGACTTTAGAAAGCTATGGAGATACTTTTTTCGTACGTCCTTACGACCTTAAGGGACTGCCTAGGGGAGTTGCAAAGTGGGGATACCCTTCCCTAGGAACTGCTACAAAATTTAACCCTGGCTGATGATGAGCTGTACACCGCGTATTGGCACAAGCTCCAAAGGCAGACCGCGACTGAATCGATGTCCGGGGATGGGGAAACTATCGAGACCCCAACAACGGACAACGACTCAAAGGTCGGAACTGCCCGAAAAGCATCCGATTCGAATCACTTGCGCAGAGAAAAGTGCATCTCATCAAGATTAAGTTGAAATTCGCAAGAAAATTCGAAAGAACGTATCCGCACGCTATTCATCGTGAGCTCCCGATGGTGAGGATCTTCCTCCCGAAAGTAAAATAACACAGTCGGCGAAACCCACTGTCTCTGGCAAAGGTGTGGAGGCTACTTCTGATCCTAAGCCTAACCCGAGTCGAAATACAATGGAAAAAGCTGTTGAGTACACCCCGAAACCAACTGACACCCATAAGGGTGATCGATGAGTGAAGGACTCTGTCTCAAAGCCTGATTCTACGCCAATTAACAAAGGTGAAATACCCCCACCGTTGCTCGGCAAAGGAAGAAGGTCAAGTCAGGCAATGAACCATTGTCTTCTGGAGGAATGAATACTGCTTCGTACTATTGGGTGCAGGAGCCACCGTTGTCGGAACGGGAAGAAGTTCATGTCAGACAAGGAACCTTCGTCTTCTGGTGGAATGAATACTCCCCCACAGCACAAATCTGTGAATATCGCTGACAATAACAAATTGGCGTGGCACTTTTGGGTGCAAAAGCCGCCAGTGAGGTTTCTAAAGTTGCTTTTAACTTCTATCCCTTCAATTTTGCCTACGTATCTACGACGGGTTCTGCTTCGGAGAAGCCAGCTGGGATGCTCTCCTGGCTTAGGCGGTGTCCGAATCCGAGTTCATTCATTTACTGGTTTTCATTTGAATGATAGGAATATTGGAATATTTTTCTGCCATCCCTGTTTTAATTTTTCGATTTAGGAGAATCATTTAAGAATAAAAACTACACGAAATTTAACATTTAGAAATATAAACATATTCATTTGAAAATACACACAAAAAGATAAGATTAAAAATATTGCTTATATTACAGCACTAATTTTGTAGAGATAGCTATCACCACGAACTCTACACAAGAATATTCTAAATTGACATACATTTAGTTTTTTTTTTTTTTAAATACGCATTAAAGGAAAAAAATTGTAATAATAGTAATTTATGTATTTTAGTTCTTGCTTAGTAGATCGAGAGCAAGATTAGTGGCAGAGAACTATAAAATAATTGATTTAAAAAATAATACTACACATTTAGAAAAAATCTTATATAAAATAGTGAGAGTGCAATACATATTATTTGTATAATGAATTATGAACATATGTGGAAATTAAAATTAAACAAAGATTTTAATATAGACATATTAAAGGCGACAAAAATGTCTTCGTGTCGCCAAGGCAAAATTTGTGTTATAACAATAGAAATAGCTTAAATAAAACAAAAATTGTGTGTACATATTTATAATATAATAAAGATTTTAAAACAAATCCATAATAATAAAAAAATATTTATTTTTAATATTAATTTGGGTTAATCACTGGGTATATGGTATGTTTGTCTCACGAAAGTTAATGAAAGGCAATATACAATGAGTTTTTTTGTTGTTTTGCCATGAAAATCGTTTTTTAAACTAATTAACCTAAACATTAAATATTTATATGTATAGACACTAAATTAAAAAAATAGTGTTAACCTAGTAATTTTTTTTCTATGAAATGTAAAAGGCAAAGTATTTTTTTTTATTATAGCACAAAATAAAATAAACTATAGCATGGGGAATCTATATATTTATGGAAAAACATATAGCTATGAGAAGATGAAAAGTAGGAAAAATTAACTAATGGAAAAAATAATAAACAAAAATTCGGAAATTGTTTAGGATAAACTCACATTTTCTGAAATGCCTTACAATTGTTTTGAAATATCACTCAGCGTTCAAAAGTATCCGCTGTTGTGCTTGGAAAATCATTTCGATTTTTCTTGTTAGTATTGTGTGTAGTAGAGGGGGGTTATGCAGGCAGACAATAGATTTGAGGGGGGTGGAGGAAGGAAATGTAGTTGTATAACGAATGCATTTTCTTGCAGCTGTAGTTATAGGAGAAATAGAATACAATAGTTATTTAAGACTACATAACTTAAATTATTCAAAATTTATAGTAAATTATGTAAATGTGTGTGTGTTTTTTTTGTATGTGTTGTTTTTTCTCAGCTTGTGTAGGTGTGTTCTTGTTGTTATTCTGCACACATATATATGTATGTATATATATATAGAAAAATAATACCTAGTTTAAATTATTTTTTAAATGGTAATATCACCATATTCTTGAGACCATTTTTCATATGACGTCAAGCTTTGGGGTGCCACTGAGCGACGTATACGTTTCAGGGAATTATGAAAATCATTTTCGGTTATTGGACGCATAGCACTGATATCCAAACACTTAACTTGTTCCACATTTAATTCACGTATTGGTTCCAATGCTGCATCTTTGGCCAATGCTGTTAAATCGCTACCAGAATAACCTTCGGTGAGTTTTGCCAGACGCTTCAAGGCATCTGTATCCAAGGGGCTACCTTGCTTTTGCAGCAAACGACGCAACAGTAATTCTCGTGTTTCCAAATCGGGTAACGAAACATAAACACGTTTTGTAAAACGCCGCAACGCCGCCTCATCTAATTCTTGTGGACGATTTGTTGCCGCTAAAACAACAATACGATCACCATCTGGATTACCCGGCAGACCATCAAATTCGACGAGGAATTCAGTTTTTAAACGTCGTGAAGCTTCATGTTCATTACTGCTACGTTCTGAGAGCAGTGAATCGACTTCATCAATGAAAATTATGGATGGTTGCATTTCACGGGCAACGGCAAATAAGGCTCGCACCAATTTTTCACCATCCCCCACATATTTACTTGTTAGCGAGGCGGCTGAGATGTTCAAAAACGTAGCACTACATTCGGTGGCAACAGCTCGAGCGAGTAAGGTTTTACCATTACCAGGTGGTCCGAACAAGAGTAAACCTTTGGCGGGTGCTCTGAGACCTAGGGAAAGATTTAATTTAGAAAAAAATTGGTTATATAAAATGAGGCAATCGATGTATTTAAAAATTAAACAGGCTAACATTAAGTTCGGGCGAGAATTTCTTACTCTGTACCAAATTACATCCACTTGTAAAATTCGTCTATGACCTTAAAAATATCTGAAATAGGACGAAACTGGGGCTATCGAAAACAGAGTGCATACTTTGAAAAATAGTATACCCTTCAAAAACCGTACATCTTTCCCTTCTGTTGAGAAATGCGGATAACATTTTTAAAATACCTTGAATTGGATCGGGGGCTTATGTCAAAACATGGGTCTGATTCTGGCTCCATGTTCAAGAAGGCGATTTTTACTCATGGCCATTATGTGTCAAGATTTCCTGCTAATCGGATTCTGTTTCTAACTCTATGTTCAAAAAGGCTGCGACTTGTACCGGTTGCGTTCATAGGGAAAATGGGGTTAAGTGAGTGGGTTTGGCAAGGCAGTTGAAGAGGTGCAGCGTGTCATGTGAACCATTACCACATGCCGGGCAGATATTGTTAACAGTTCCGTCAATTGTTGCCCAATATGAATTGAGGCGGCTACACCATCCAGATCTCAGTTACACTAAGACCACTCTGGTTTGTCGTGATTGCTACTGCTCTTCTGCTGCTATATGGGTGGGGTTTCTCCGAGGATTGTATTAACGCTGCATGCTTGAATTGCTTCTCAACTACTTCAGTGTGAATACGATTCAATCCTGCTTGGTAGAACAGTTTTTCTATATGTTTTCTTTTGTACCGGTCCTCTATCTCCATATCATGAAGATTCTTCCTGATATGATTCTTCTATCCATTCAGATTCTTCTATCCATAAGGTGATGGTTCGAATGGCAACTTCTGTAAAACTAAAACAGATAACACATCGACAACATCTGGTTGTGCTGCTTACTTACTTAGCTGGTTTGTTACAGAACGGTTGTTCCATAAGCCGAGCCTAAAAAAGATTTCCAAGCGCGTCGGTCTTGTGCGCAATTCCACCAATTTGGAAGACCACGTTCCAAGACGATGGTTGTGTTGACAAATAAAAATAATCTTCTTCTCCTCATGAAGTGGTCTGTTGGATTCATGAGGTGATCAAATCACATCGGCAGATAGACATTCTGACAGAATTGAATGTTTTTCCATTGCGTTGCACAAACTTTGGCGTATCACATTAGAGCCGCATAGTTTACCGCAGACCGATCTATCACATTATATGTTAACAAGGCTCAATGCTGCCGGCTAGCGATTTGAGAATTTTGTTCCTCCTCTTAACCTTACGAACGACATATATAAAGTCTATCGAATATGACTCCTACAACCGTGGGGTAAATAGTGGTCGGAGTTGTGGACCCTACGAACTGCAAATTCTATGATAGATGCATCTCCGCTCTCGATGTTGATTTAGTGGCCGATATTTCCATATTCCTCGTCCGGAAAAACTCTGCAATATACATGAGACAGGTGTTTAGCCTCTCGCAAATGTCGTCCATTTTTGCCTGGTTTGTGACAGAACATTTGTTCCATAAACCAAGCTTAAAAAGATTTCCAGGCGCGTCGGTCTTGCTCGCAACTCTTTCCATTTGAAAGACCATGTTCCGAAATGTTCTCTTTCACTTGATCTTTCGTGGCCCCTTTTACGTGAGCCATCAGTATGCTCACTTTTACATGTGCTTTTGCATCCTCATTCACTCTCACAACATGACCAACGTAGCAGCTGCAGCTCGATAGGTCTGACATTGCCGATATTCACCGTCAACACAGATCGGAATTTTTCTCTCAAACACTTCAAGAGCTCCCTCATCTGTTTGCGTCAGATCCATATAACAGTATCAGCGTCTTGTTGAATGTGAGTTTGGCCTGGCGGAAGCTGGTCTTGGTTCTAAACTGCTTACTTAGACCATAGTAGCATCTGTTGGCCAACACTATCCTACTCCGAATTTCAAAACTGATGTCATTAGTTTTATTGATGCCTTTACCAAGGTACAGAATTAGTAGTGATTATTCCACTGAAATGTCTCTTAGCTACCCAGCTCAGCCAGCGCCGTATCCCCCTGGTCATTACCCAGGACAAAATGCCACAATTCATGGTGGGCATTGAAATTTCCGAGTACTAAGCTGTTATTGCCTTCTAAAGGCGCACTGATATCCGATAAACAATGCGTGGTATATCTATTCATCGGTGGTATTTAAACATTTAGCGCCTATACCTGGCAGTTCTACACTCAACTACTACCCCTATACATTCAATGTATGCATCACTAGAGTTTAGTCATCCGAGATAGAATGGCGTAACAATAATGCAAATCGCCCACACACTTAACATGCCACCGATTGAATCAAAACCAACATATAACGCACATTGCATCTTCTTCATTAGAAATGTTACACAATTCATATGGAATATTTTCAGAAATTTCTATTTTAACTGTAAATAGCAACACACTTACCCGTAAATAATTCCGGTCGTACAGCTGGTAATATTACCATTTCTTGTAGGGCCTGTTTGGCAACCTCTTGCCCAGCAATATCGGACCATTCCACTTTAGCTCCGCCCTCGACAATTTCATCCAATATTATTTGTACCAATTTCTGTTCAACACCCTTAACACTGACAACGGGTGTACTGGCGCCACTATTCGATTGACCGCCACCGCTGCTACTACCACCAATACCACTTATGGGTGTGCGAGAACGTTGCGGTGGTGTATTTCGACCGGAAGACTGCAAAGCAATATTATGAAACAAATGATGAATTAGTATTTGCAATTTTTATTTCGTACAGGGTTGTCGAAATATTTAAGCCAAAATATTTCCACATTAATGAGAGTTTTAATGGAGGTTTTGAAATATGATAATTATGCCGCTTAATTCTAGACGATGATCTTATTACAGATTTCCATAAGATATTTAATATGTAATACTTACAAATTGCCTTCGAACAGCTGGAGGTGTGGCAGCAGTTTTTATGGGCTGACGTTGTGATACCCCTGCTATTGCATTCTTTGAGCCCAAATTTCTTGGTAAGGTTTGAGATTTATTTACAACAGCTAAGTTTCCTGGACGTTTTGAACTAACGGTAAGTTTACGACCCGATGCTATAAAAAAGAAAGAAATGATAAAATATTAAAAACAATTATTAATAAAAAATTTAGAAAATACAACAAAAAGGTTTGTGTTTTCATTTGGTAAGCAAAACAAAGCGAATTGAAGAAAAAACTCAACTTAAAATAAATAATGAAACTGAAAAAATGTGCTCTACAAAAGGAGGTTCAAGTTAAAAATGTGATGAAATGTGGTAGAGTAAATGATTGTTCTTCTTGATACAAATAGCAGACGAATTATGAACTAAAATTGAATTGAGATCAAAATGTGAGTGCGATTCGATTTTCCTTTTAGGTTTTTTTTTTTTGACGTTGATTTTTTTGGTTTTGCATGAGTTGTGTCATAACGAGAGTAAAGAAAAAAAGAACAGCAGCTTACCTGTGGCCGTGGACCCCGCATTAGGTGAGGTTTTATTCGTGGTATTATTATTATTTCTTATATTATGTGCAGCAATACTGCGTAATTTGGTCGTATTATTAATACGCACCATGGGTATGGAACAATTCGCACCAGTATTATTGCTATTTGAACTATTATTATTATTGGTATTACTGTTTTCCATTTGCATTGGCTGTACAATTTGAACATTTTTTGTTCCCGTTTGCTTGGAAGTTGTGGAGGAGGACGGCGATGATGCGGATGAGCTGTTAGTACTTTTTCTATATTTTAGGTTTGTGCGATTTCTTGTATTGTCTTGTTTTTTATTTTGTTGCTGTTCATCTCTTAGATGTAAGGCTTCCAAACGTAATTGTTCATCACGCAATTCTAAGGCGGTATGGTATTAGGTTTGTTCGTTCGTTTATTTGTTTTTTTGTAACCACATCATAATACATGACACAACCAACCACAAAATGATGTTGTATGATATATAAAAATAAATAAAAAAGAACAAATAAAAAACAGAACATAACAAAGGAAAAAATGAATTTAAAAACAAAATAATTGAACAAAAACAACATCTAAAATAACAACAACAACATGCTAACTACTAAGAGTTTATGTTTTTTTATAAACTTCAATACTCACCTAGAAAATGTAAACGATCCCTTGCCATTGATAGATTTGTCTGCATTTTATCATGCAGTCGCTGGGCACGTTCCCAAACTTCACCCCGACCACTCCAGCAATCGACAGCAATACCATCTTCCAATTCTTTAATACCTTTGCGGTACAGTTCAATAGCCAATTCCTTGTGACCTGTAATGTAGATTAAAATACGATTAAAATCGAATAGGGGAATTATAGAGGAGAATGGAGAAACGTATTTTCCGAAAAAAAAGAAGAAAGAACAAGAAAAATGTGAGCGTGAGCAAATCGGTATGTACAGGAGTCAGAATGAAGTCTGGAAAGTTAACCAACCGAAACAAAAGAATTTGGTGCAGGCACATCCTCTTATAGATGGAAACCTGGTGACAGATACAGACAGCGTGTCAGCATCCTTGGAAAATCAGCATCCTTAAAAAAATATTATTTAAGAAATCCACGCCTGTTTGTGACCCTTGAAAAATATTATTTAAGAAATCCACGCCTGTTTGTGACCCTTGAAAAATATTATTTAAGAAATCCACGCCTGTTTGTGACCCTTGAAAAATATTATTTAAGAAATCCACGCCTGTTTGTGACCCTTGAAAAATATTATTTAAGAAATCCACGCCTGTTTGTGACCCTTGAAAAATATTATTTAAGAAATCCACGCCTGTTTAGTGACCCTTGAAAAATATTATTTAAGAAATCCACGCCTGTTTGTGACCCTTGAAAAATATTATTTAAGAAATCCACGCCTGTTTGTGACCCTTGAAAAATATTATTTAAGAAATCCACGCCTGTTTGTGACCCTTGAAAAATATTATTTAAGAAATCCACGCCTGTTTGTGACCCTTGAAAAATATTATTTAAGAAATCCACGCCTGTTTGTGACCCTTGAAAAATATTATTTAAGAAATCCACGCCTGTTTGTGACCCTTGAAAAATATTATTTAAGAAATCCACGCCTGTTTGTGACCCTTGAAAAATATTATTTAAGAAATCCACGCCTGTTTGTGACCCTTGAAAAATATTATTTAAGAAATCCACGCCTGTTTGTGACCCTTGAAAAATATTATTTAAGAAATCCACGCCTGTTTGTGACCCTTGAAAAATATTATTTAAGAAATCCACGCCTGTTTGTGACCCTTGAAAAATATTATTTAAGAAATCCACGCCTGTTTGTGACCCTTGAAAAATATTATTTAAGATTTTCAATCCACGCCTTGTAAAGACACTTGAAAAAATGAACGATTTTAATCCACGCCTGTTTGTGACCCTTGAAAAATATTATTTAAGAAATCCACGCCTGTTTGTGACCCTTGAAAAATATTATTTAAGAAATCCACGCCTGTTTGTGACCCTTGAAAAATATTATTTAAGAAATCCACGCCTGTTTGTGACCCTTGAAAAATATTATTTAAGAAATCCACGCCTGTTTGTGACCCTTGAAAAATATTATTTAAGAAATCCACGCCTGTTTGTGACCCTTGAAAAATATTATTTAAGAAATCCACGCCTGTTTGTGACCCTTGAAAAATATTATTTAAGAAATCCACGCCTGTTTGTGACCCTTGAAAAAATATTATTTAAGAAATCCACGCCTGTTTGTGACCCTTGAAAAAATATTATTTAAGAAATCCACGCCTGTTTGTGACCCTTGAAAAATATTATTTAAGAAATCCACGCCTGTTTGTGACCCTTGAAAAAATATTATTTAAGAAATCCACGCCTGTTTGTGACCCTTGAAAAAATATTATTTAAGAATTCCTGCAAAATTAATACGGCTATGCAGGAAAACTTTGAGTGGCACAAGGTCAGATAGTATCAATTTCTATAGAGATCGGACAGAAGATATATTACGTGGCAAGGTTGCACTTTCCCAATCACTTTAGGTTTCTAATTATGCTGTAGATTAGAGCCGGTTCCGTTGTTGAGCAAGAAACTAAGACTCGATGGAAAATGAGCACCCACTAGTCTGTGCCGTCTGTAAACCAGAACTGGGCAGCGACACAGGATATGCTCAATTGTCTCCGTCATCGGTTCAATGATCTCTGCATCCAGATTTTTTATCAATTCCGCTGCCTTCCAAATCGCAAAAATTTCAGCTTGGATAACACAGTTGCTATCCAGCTTGTAGGTTAACTCATGGCCAAGCCTTTCACAGTAGACGCCAGCCCCATGCACCTTCTTCCATCTTGGATCCGTCTGTATAGAAATCCAGACGGTCCAGAGGAGGGTTACCCCGGTTCTCTACTAGGAATATCTACATCGTCAAATTTCAGGACTGGTGATATATAGTCGCATAGTTTTATGCGTTGGTCCAATGTCATACCTGCTTCGTTCAAGATACAACCATGTCCAAAGGTACAAGTTCGCCAAAGATTTTGTTCATGAAACCTTTGGGCACTACGTGCGGTCTGAGGCCTTAAGTTCAGCAATGCGTTCGATGGTTTTAGCCCCCCAACTTTTCCCAATGGAATTCTTGCATGCATAGAGTGCCATCAGCCCTCTCTTCGCCAAGGTTCGTTGCTTCGGGTGATAGATGAAGCTGCACTTCATCCAGTGTTGGCGGAGCAAAGACGCCGAGCTTACGCTTCCTAGTGAACAATACCAGTTCCGTCTTTGTTGGGTTTACATCAAGACCGTTCGCCTTGGCCCAGCGTGACAGCGTCAGTAAGGCTTTTTGCATAAGCTTCGAGATGGTTGACGGAAAATTTCCGGAAATCAATAACACAGTGTCGTCCGCATAAGCTACGACTTTGATACCTTTTTCCGTCCAGTTCCATCAGTATGTTGTTAATTACCAATAGCCATAGCAACGGTCAGAGCACCCCTTCTTGAGGGAAGTAGGCAATTAAGTAATAACCCTTAAATATTCAATGTTCCTCCGAGAAGCACATATTATCATAATTTAATTTTAATTGTTGAAACCAATCATCCGGATAAATATAACCATCCGTATAAATCATCCGTATAAATAGAAAATATAATATTATTTTTAAGTGGATTTACGGATGCGCTACAAAATTATACACATGCCCTTAATTTAAAAACCGGAATTTTGGAGGTTCTTCAATTTTTCTGCCATCAGTACCAGGAAAGACATTGTAATTAGGGCCTCTTGTGCTACTTATAGTTCAAAACGATGCGAGATATAAACTTTACTTAAGTCAAATTGTTCAATTGTTAAAAAGAGGAACTCATTCCAAAACAAATACACATATATGGCGTCATCGATTAAGCCCCTAGCTCAACTTTTTGTATGCTTGTTATTAATATTCCAATAATACTATCCTATTCAATTCAATATCAATATGGATTTCCTTACTCCTATTTAAACATCGATGTAATATGCTGTGTGTCCCTTGTTACAATACCATAAATGGCTCAGATGACTCATTGAAGTATAACAATTCTCAGCTACAACAACAATAATAACAAAATTCACAATTAAATGCAATAAAACAACAATAACTACGTCGCGTTCTAAAACTCACCTTCATTTTCTTCATCAATTTTCAAGGCCTTTGAAATGTACTCGAAAGCCCGGCGATGATGATGTTTCTGTTTGGCCAACAATGGATCACCGGGACCTGGACCCGATGCTCCAGCACCACCACCGCCCGCTCCCACCGTACTATTCTTATTGAACATTTCCAACTGCTGTTGTGGATGACGTACTCCTCTTGATCCCGGCAACGGGTAGGGGGCAATCGCTGTCGATGTTATTGAATTTGTGCTGTACGCTGACTGTTGTTCCAACAACTGCTGATGATGATGATGTTTATCCTTGGACGAGACGGCCACCAAACTGGAATTTTGTGCACCAGAGCCTGAGGAGCCAACAACAATTTCAATATTACATTCACGCTTATGCGGACGATAAATGACTTTTGTGCTCGCACCGTAGATGTAGCGAAATATACAAAACAGCTGATAGATCAGCGTACGAAGTACGTTGAAAAGAAAAATGATAGGAAATGAAACCACATACAGGTTTTGTTTATGTACGGAACTAAAGGGTGAACGGGTGTTCATTGGAACATCATAGTCGTCGGAATCATCGTCCGGCGAGGAGTTGGGTGAGCGTCGATTTGATGATGTGGATGGCTTGACATCGTCCAGGGCTACACTACATGTACTGGAGGTTTTACGATGCGACTGGCGTATGGGTGATTTGGTACTGCTGTTGTTACTGGCATTACCCGATGAAGAGGACGATGATGATTTGCTACGCACCATCGGATGGATTAATTTGTTGATTAATCAAAAATAATATCTTCGACACTCCAGCCAGTTGTTGGGGGGTTAAAACCGAAAAACAGACCCCCACAATAGATTCAACGAAAAAAAAATTCTTTCAAATTTCTTTTTGCAACCCCCTTTTTCGTTAGCATAGGATTTCACTTTGTATTATTTTTCTTCTTTTGAAATAAATATCAAAGATATTTTTACTATTTTCGTTAATATTCACTTTGTTGTTTTGTTTTCCCGAATAATTTTTATTTTTTCATTATTTTATAATTGATAAAAACTTCTTTTTTATGTTGACTTGAATTAGTTGCTTGCTTTCTTTCGTTTTTTATTTTAATATGTCATACTTTTGCTGTTTATTTTTTTGCGTTATGTCAAACCCCCTTTTTTCAACCCTTATAACAAAGAAACAACAACTAGTGCTATAAAAATATTGAATATTTGTATACATGTATGTGTGTGACTTTGGCAGCCGGATATTTTGGCGCTATTGCACAAAAGTTAGACAAATGATAAATTTATCGCTTGATAGATATAAAAAATATTTATGACTTACACTTTTTTTTTAATTCGTTATTTGTTGAAATTATATTTCCTATTGGAAAAATTGTTTATTTTTTTATTTTAATATTTGAAATCGACTGTTTAATGTTTGAATTAATACCGAATACTTTTTCAAAGTAAATGACATGACATTTGCCAGATGACATATTATTAGGATGCTCACATTACAAGTAGCTATTAATGTCAAACAAAAGACCAGTTCACACAGAGCAACTGAGACATGCTCAAACAAAATTGTTTATTTCTTCAGTTTTTTTTTTTTATTTTTAGTTATTTGGACTTAATTAATTCGAAAATAAATATCAACATTTTTTATATACCAAGGCATCCTGGAGCATCCGTTAGGTTAGGATTGGGGATGTGCAGTCACTTACACTGCAGCACTCTGAGACCGTCAGGTCCATTATGATCATACACTAAAAGAAAAAGATATGGAGAGATGTATGTGGGTGAAAAGAAGGGGGGATAGAGAGAGATGAGAAGCTGACATAGAAGTGTGAGAAGGTAAGTATGAGATAGTATCGATGGCTATAGAGATCGCGGACAGAAGATTATTACGTGTCAAGGATGCACTTTCCCAAACACTTTAGGATTCTAATTATGCTGTAGACTAGAGCAGGTTCCGTTGTTGAGAAGAAACTAAGACATGGTGGAAGATGAGCACCCACTAGTCTGTGCCGCCTGTAAGCCAGGACTGGACAGCGACACAGGAAATGCTCAATTGTCTCTGTCTCCTCCTCATCTACGCAGAGTCTACAGTAATCATTAACATTATGGCTCCATTTACTGGTAAAGGCCCTGATATTGCACTGACCAGTACTAATTCATGTCACTACTCTTATTTCAGCTTTACAACAGTAAGTGTGTCCTTTTGGTAGACAGAGTAGGCCAAATAGATCTTGACACATTACACCCATGGTATAATTATTACAAGGTAGGGCACAGCTACCAACTGATTACAATTTTTTCTCAAGGTGGCTTGTTCAATCAAATCAAAATACATATTTTGTGTATGTGTGTGTGTATTGTTTTGAATACAATGTCAAATAAATTCAAAATAAATTGAAATATATTCAAGTTTAATTGAAATGAAAATAAAGTTTTTAACACGTTCCTCTGGAAGTAATTACTTTGTTATGGACGAAACAAACATTTTATGGTATTCCCTACTCGATTTTGGGAAGAAATCATAACCTTTCATTCATTTTTCGCGTTTTTAGTTTTGTGTTGGAAAAATGTCAAATAAACACAAACACTTGTTGCGTATATTTATTTTATTTTTGGCAGAAGAGACCACACGTGCATAGTTGCTTTTTTGTTATTCACCTCAAGTTGTCCTACCTTGTATTATTGTACCATGCCTGTAGGTATACCACATACAATACCACACTACTCTGTGACCTCTGAAGCGAAGAACTGAAGGCATCGGCATCAGAATCTGTGATTGAAAAACATCTATGAAACATTTGAAAACATCGCAATACTCCTTTCTACTGCTTAATCCGAAACAATCTCGAAAATGTACCCATTCCTCATAAACATAGCATCTCATCTATAAGGATCTGTGGTTTTCCTTTCAATCTCCGTAAAATGTTGTTGAACTGGCAGCTTCCGATGGAGGTCTTCGTTCGAATCAATCTGGTGCATTGAAGCAGCTGCTTTGAGATTGACAGCAATATGAGATGTTAGGAGCTGTGTATATTGACCTTCAATCTGAGACCATATTGAGTTTCAACCCGTGGCACTTTAATAATTTATAATTTCACAAAATTTCAAGTGAAATCCCCATTCATAAATTCCCTGTCTCCCATATTTGCCCTCAAAAGAAAAAATCCCCAATTTGAGAAAGAATCTAATTATATGGCAACCCTTACACCATCTGTCAAATAATTCAGTTTTTTGCATAACCACAACCAAACCAACCAAGAGATATTTTAATATTTTATATTCCAAAATTTTCTAAATAAAACTTAACAAGCGACAGCATGTCCAAGGCGGCGGGCAAATTAAAAAACATCAAAAAGAGTGTGGAGAAGATAACTCACACCACAAAGCTTAAAACAAATATTCCAGCTGGTATGGCTGCAGCCGGTCCACCATTGGGACCTATGTTGGGTCAGGTTTGTAAATACTCATATGTTTTTTTATTATTTATTTTTAATTTCCCCCTTTTGCCTTACAGCGTGCCATTAATATTGCTGCGTTTTGCAAGGATTTCAATACCCGCACAGCTGACATCAAGGAAGGCATACCATTGCCCTGTCGCATATCCGTTAACAGTGATCGTAGTTATAATTTAGTTATTCACTCACCACCCGCTGCATTTTTGTTGAAACAGGCGGCCGGCATACAACGAGGTGCTATGAGTGCCGGACGTGAGGTGGCTGGTATGATTACGCTAAAGCATTTATATGAAATTGCTGCAATTAAAATTCAAGATCCTCCAAATGCTTTGCTTACAATGCAGGTGAGAGGACGATAAAAATGATGTGATTGTTACATTTTTTAATGTGTTTTTTTTTTATTTTTTTAGCAAATGTGTGAAATGTTGGTGGGCATTGCCCGTACATGTGGCATCAAAATTGTCCGCGACTTAAAAGCCGAAGATTATGCTGCCTTCTTGGAAGAAAGACGTGCTATTGTCGAGGCCCAGAGACGTGAATTACAAGAGAAACGTGAGGCGAAAATGTTACGTACTGGTTAGATTTATTTACTATTGTTTATTATTATTGTTGTATAAAGAAAGTAAATATATAAAATACAAAATAAAAAAATATTATTTTTAAATTAGATTCTAATCAAAGCCAATTCTTTTACGATCCTTGGCGGCATTCTTTTTGCGACGTTTCTCCAAATGTTTAGCCAGTTTGCCTTTTTCTTTCAACTCTTCGAATTGTGCCACCAATTCCTTGGTTCGTCGTTCCTCTGCAAAAATACGAGTTATATTAATTAAGAAATTAAAAATATAAAGTAGTTAGACATACTCTTGGTTATGAAATGCGGTTGTCTACCCTCGGCAATGGCCTTTTGTATTTCACTTTGCTCCTCCTTAAGCTGCTGTTGTTTCTGATGCCATTTCTTCTCCTCCACATTCTTGTTGATTAATCTCTGTATGGTTTTCTTAAGTTCACGACGTTCATCCTCATCGGTGGTCTTACTTAGGACTTCCTTTAATTGCACCACTTCTTTTTCTCGAATTTCACTTACAAATTTATAATTTTCTTTGAACTTCTTCACATCATATTCCCCGGCACGTTCATCAAATCTGGGATCACGTATTTCATTATCCTTTTTGCGTTTGGTGCGCATTTCTGCGCCCAAAAATGGTACCTGTCGTTTTGCTGTCATTTCGCGGGGACGATTTTTGTTAAGACGTTTAAAATCTTTAGCTTCCTTTTTGGGTTTCTCAAGTTTACTGCTATCAATGCCGAGGACAGCTTCTTTATAGATTTTAGCACCAAGTTCCTCTTTCAATTTCATGATTTCTTCAAAGGACATGGACTTTAAGTCCTCGCGAATTTCATTCTATTTTGGAGAGAGAAAATAAGTATTTTTTATTAAATAATGGAATTTGTGTAGGTTTTACTTACTCTTTGTTCTTCCTCTTCTTCGGAAGAGCTTTGCTCATCAGAGGAATTATGTTCATCTTCGGAGTAACTCATATTTTATGGTATAGTTTTGTAGAGGGTTTGTTTTTATTCCCGAATCTCACGTGTATTTGTTTACATTTGTTGTTATATTTTCATGTATGAAAACATATGTCAAAATATATCGTTTTCCAACACTGGTTTTTAGTAGCATTGGGGGGTTTCACTAAAAAAATTTTTTTAATTGCTATATACTTATTGCTATGATGCTATTAATAATGTTCTCATCTGACAACTGTTTGACAGTGGCCACTTTTATTTGCAACGCCGTTGTTTTTTGTAACTGACATGGTTCTCTCTCTAGGAATTAAACTGTTGGCACTATTTTGACACGAAATATAAAAAAGAAAATGTATTTGCGGGTAAAGAAAAAATGCTTATACCCACTCCCCCGTCATTGCTCTCTTTTATCACCAAACACACATTTAATTTAAATAATAACCTTTATAATTTCTGCCAAAAGAGTGTTTTGTACAGTTGAACACTCGGGTTCACTAAAAGGAACAATGTGTATAGTCTCTGTTCTCTCAAAGAGAGAGATGCAACTAGTTCCGTTAGTTTCTTTGTGTGACTTATTTTCTTGAACTCTGTCAGTAATAAACGACTCAGCTTTTGTTTTTTTGGGGAGAATTCTTAACAAAATTATTAAAAAATGATTAATTTATTCATAAATCCAAGTAAATCTGTGGCAATACCCGAACAAAATTATGACGACCTGGTTGGCTATGTGATCCAAGAAACGGTAAGTGGAAAAAATTGTTATTAAAATTTAATGAAAACAGATTTGTTTGTTTACCTTTTGCAGAACCTAACACCAGATAGCTTCTATTTGGAACAAAATGGTAAACGTTTACAAAGCAACCCCAGTCACGATGCACCTGTTTATTTACGTCTGCGGCTATTGGGTGGTAAAGGTGGTTTCGGTTCTATGCTTCGAGCCATTGGGGCACAAATTGAAAAGACCACCAACAGGGAGGCCTGCCGTGATTTAAGTGGTCGTAGGTTGCGTGATATAAACGAAGAGAAACGTTTAAAGGCATGGTTGGAAAAGCAGGGTGAACGTGAGCGTGAAGCAGAGGAAAGGAAAAAACGTAAAATTGAAAAGTTGTTGGCCGTGCCGAAACATGAATTCAAAGATGAAGAATATGAACAAGCACGTTCGAAGTTAACCGAAAAGGTGTGTGATGCTGTGGAGGAAGGTTTTAAGAAGGCGGCGGACAAAAGTGATTTAAAACGTAAATGTGAACCATCTACATCGGCAAAGGCGGCTCCAGTTAAGGCAAAAAAGCCAGCCTTATGGATTGATGATGATTTGTCAGGTTCCTCGGATACTGATTCAGATGATAGTGATGATGACGATGCTGGCAAGAAAAATAACAAAACAAAAGATAAGACAGCTGATACGAAATCTATAGCACAGGATGAGTCGAGTTCTTCAAATGATTCTGAATCCCTTTCAAATAAAGTGTCACCAGACGAAGAAACAAATTCATCAGATGACTCAAAATCGGCAGTATCAGCTGTTAGTAAATAATTGTGGAATTTATATTTAGCCAAACAATTTCCTACCATCGATAGATTTTGTGGTGAACATCTCAATCACAAGACCATTTAGAAAAAAATCGCATTCACCTAAACCCCGAAGTCCATCGGACCAAAAATTGCAGTTTTTTGAAAAATATCCAGTCGCTACTACAGCAACAATCATCTACCGATTTTGTTGTGATCATTATAGGAATACCTGTCAAGTTTTGATTGTGGCCCAAAGTCCATCGGATCTATATCTTTAAATCATTTCCCAACATTATCATACACAACAAAATCCATCGATGGTAAACAAATTGTTCTTAATATTAAGTAATTAATATTTTATAGTCCCAAAAATTATGACAAAATTATTTTCCATTAAATAATTATTAATTATAATATATATGTATTTCTTAATTTTTCTAAAATAAAATTATATACGTATTAACAAAATAAAATTTCTATCACACTATTGATTACTTGCAAATTGTGAGGACACCCAGGCTAGACCCCATTTAAGATTTGTAAGCATAAATTTAAGGGCCTTTGTCCACTGCTCCTCCGAATTGAATTGGATTCTGAAAGCAGGAAAAAAAACAAAACACATTTAAAAAATACTCCTCAATTAAATAGACGTACCCCAATACTCACTTTATTGAATATGAATTCCCCGTGGAGGGGTCTATAATTTTACCCTTTTCCATTTTGTAGGGCAATAGGAATTCTGGATCCCTCTTTTCTACTTCCTGTTGAAATTGTGTTAGGCAATCCAAGAATGCTACCATGGCTGCATCAAATTTTGTATCCCAAAAGAATTTAAAACCACCCGTACCATACAAGGGTAATTCACGATTCTCCCCCAATACTTCAACATATGAATGATTGCCAAATGGGACAATACGATATCGTTCAAATGTCAGTCCAATTTTTCGCGCCAAAGCACATAGCAGCAGCACAGTTTGTCCCCATGCGGCATTAATTTCCGACCAATCAACGGAGGCCGAGGGCAGCCGGCCCAATCGAAAGTTATTTATGGTACCAAAATGTCCAGCATGCCATATATGGAATGTAATATTGAAAATATTTGCATCTTTCAACTTCTCCAATTGCTGTTCGGCATAGGCAATTTGACACTCCAGGCTACGTTTATCATCCTCGGTTAACATTAACTCCCTGCGATGTTTGGTATATTCACGCCAATAGCTGGCTTCTTGTTCTTGAAGTTTTTGCTTCTCTCCCTCCTCTTTTTCAATGGCCTCATTTAGACTTTGCTCCTCCACCTTCAGTTCGTTCAACTGATTCAACAGTGATTGTTCATTTTCTTTTAACTCGGCCAATTCCTTTTCCAATTCTGTGATATTTGGGCAATCCTGCTGCTGTTCCAATTGCTTGAGATAATTCTTATAATCACTCCATTCATCTTCGGCTATTTTCAATTCCCTATCCATGATTTCCAGCATGGAGTCGGCACATTCTTCACACAGTGGATGATCAATTTCCGAATTGGAGGACAACGAATCGAATAGTTCAGCTTTCAATTTAAAGGCTGCACTCCACTTCTTGTTATCTCGACCATCGGACACGAGCATAAACCCAGTACCATTTATTGAATCCGTCAAACGATAGGGTGGTACAAAATGATCAAAACTATTGTCCTGATTGTCTAAGGTATTGACATTGCTGGCATATATGGGTACTGGGAATAATATGATTAATCATTTTATTTAATTAAAAAAAAGAACAAAATATTCTCAACAACTTACACGATAATTCTGCCCTTGCATGAACACTTATATTTTCCAGATTTTCATCTAATAATATCGGTTGTAAACATCTTTGGCAGGCAAAGGACACCGGAACTTTTTCTACATCTCCCGACTGACTCATTTTTTCGAATGTGATGATAAATATTTGTTATTTGTGAATCCAATTGGGATTGGGTTGTGGAACTGCTGTTAGTTTGTATTGTTTTTTCAACATACACAAAAAACGTTGATAAATCTCAAAATCAAAACAAAATGAACAATGGATATTAGGTATCTAGAAATCGAAAATGACATCGCAGTATTAATGGTGGGTAAATCAGCTGTTTCATGTCGTTACCAACATTTAACAACACTAGATGATAGGGATGCCCGTTCACACAATAAGTTATACAAAATTTTATTGGATGTTGTTTGATATCAAGTAAAATAGATTGTATTGGGACGCATATGTGTGAGGGCAGTTCGTTCTTAGCCTAGCACAAAAAGCGCGGTATAAACAGAAAAAAGTTTAATGTTTTGGAAACTTCCATCTCCGTTATGAACACATGTTCAATTTTGTTTCAATCTGGCAACTCCTTCATTTGGTAAAGGGCCTGTCGTTACTCTAATTTCAGCTTTGCTCAGGTTCAACAGTGAGTTTGTCCTATCGGTCAGATAGATCTTGACACATTGCACCTAGGCTCGTTGTGCCAGATTTCATTGGTCCGTTCGTCGAAGAACGCCTCAAAGTTCAAAAAGTGATGACAGATGGGTGGATTGATTAAGCAATCAATTGCTAGATCTGTAGATTGAGATCCTCGTCTAGCTAATTCGTCTGATTTTTAATTACCCATATCACGGTGTACTGGTACCCAACACAGCCGATAGCTGTGTGTGTTTCCAAAACTGTTCTATACTCGAGGACGACATCAGATTTGATATTACAGAATTTGATGGCTTTAAGAGCCGACTGATTATCCACAAAGATAATCACCGTTTCAACGATCTCTGCATCTAGAATTTTTATCAATTCCCATGCCTTCCTAATAGCGATGATTTCAGCTTGGAAAACACTACAGTTGCTATCCAGCTTGTAGGTAAGCTCAAGGCCTAGTCTTTCACAGTAGACGCCAGCCCCTGTACCTGTTCTTCCATCTTGCATCCGTCTGTTTTTTAGTTTTACGGTTGGATCGTTCAGGATACATACATGACCGTAGGTACAATTTCGCCATAGATTTTGTTCATGCAGCCTTAGGTCACTACGCGCTGCCTGACACTTAATGCTGTGACATAGAGGCCTTAAGTTCAGCATTGCGTACAGAGCTGTTTGTGGGGTGCTTTTCTCGGCTGCATTTATTAGAATCTAGGCGGCTATTGTCTAGTTTGCTGAATTGTGGCGCAAGCAGTATCACCAAACAAGAGAACCATAGGAAAGGATGGGCCTTATCAACGGTGAGAGCACCCCGCTCTGATTTTCGTACCCCCTACATTTGAATTTATAATTTTGCCCTTTGTCAGCAAGTCACTCTGCAGACTTGGTTTAACCGCTTTGGGAATGTACGTAACTTTTACCTCGTTCCATAGACCCGGAACGCACGAGAGAGCCTAGCACGCTATATAGATCTTCTCAAGTATCAGGTATATACTAGGCGAGGCAAATTGAAGCAGCGCCGGTGTAATACCATCTGGTCCTGGTGATTTATATGGTTTGAATATGTTGACTGGGCAACGTATCTTATTTCTGCTAACCACCTTGTCAATGAGATCCAAATCTATAGTCGCAATAGGTTGAGTGTCATCACACTACTATTTTTGGAAATCTCACTTATAGATTTTCCATCCTTAACCGTTTGGCCAAGGCTTCGCAGATGGAAATTCGATCCGTCCTATTTTGGTGTGGCACCCAAACATCGAGCTTGTTTTTGAATCCAGCTTTGTGTAAATGTTTTAAAACAGTTTTATGGTCGACTTTTAGCTCTTGGGCGATGTTACGACTGCTAACATGCCGGTCAACTTCGATAATTTCTCCGATTTTATCGATATTTTCGAAGACCGGCCTAATGGATTTCTTTTTCCCCAGCCTAATGTATTTTTCAAACAGAGTCAATGTTGTTTTCAATGTTTTTCACATCTCCTGTTAGCTACAAAAATAACATAGCGTTGTCATCTGTACGAATACGGGGCTTTGTTAGCAATACAATGCAAACGACTCCAAATTTTCTGAAACGGATTTGATCCAAATATACATGAGGTCAAAAATCAATATTTCGATGAGGCACATTTTTGGCGTATTAAAGTGTATATATCCTCATTAGCCATAAAGCTGAAGGTATAGATTAGATTAACAACATATTTTGACAGATGTCAAATTCCAGTTCCATACTTTTGAAACCACGAAACGAATAACCCTGTAATTTAATCACGTTTCGCACATTGTCTCAGTTTAAAGTTCCGTTCCAGAACCTAAAAGATTCTACTAATTTGACAAGTTGTCTAACTTTTTACTCGAAAACTGTTTCTGAACCCACAAAACTAGTGATATGTTCAACAAAATTTAAGAGAACACAAAACATATTGGCTTTCCCTTTGAAAACTCTGAAAGCGATTTTGAAATGTTTTCCTTTTACTATTAAAAAACTTCTGGAACAGACCAATTGTCTCAATTTAAGTTAATATGACAACTCAGTTTGATATGTCGCCATGCCACTTTAGATATTATTTGGATACAATATGTATTGCCACATGGTTCTTCGTCACCATTTAAGAACTCACTCACCATATGTGGCGTCCAAAGCACTTATTACAACATCAAACATCTTCAGATGTTCGAGAACTTTTCAGTCAGTCATTTATCTCTTGTCTATTTGGGTCAACGCAAATAACTCCCGCCTCTGTCTGTCAAAAAGGAAAAAAAGAAGAAGAAAATATTAATAACGCCGCTAATTTTTGCTCAATCGCGACTTGGTTCCTTTCTTTAAAAATCCATTTGCCGACACAAGTGTTCAAAAAATCCCCAACTTTTTGCTACAAAATTGCCAAATTTCTAAACAAATTATTAAAGGAAATCTTCGAAAAGGTAAACTTTAAGTGATAAGCATGTTGTTTTTGTATTTAATTCGAAATCTCCAGAAGAAATAATTTACTTTTCTATTTTTTTAGATTCACATGTAAAGCTACACTAGAAGGTTATTCAACAACAAACACAACAAACCCCCCACCTCCAACAACCAAAAAACGAAAACTAACCTTGAAAAAAACCCTCACAGAAAATTTGAAAAGACCGACAATCCAACGAAAGAGGAATAATAACAAAAACGAAAAACATCCATACGACGAAGAAGAAGAAGCTTGAAAAGTAAAACTGAGAACCCGCCGCTACTGATAAGAAACGAATCTTAGAATTGTGAGCTGCTGCGGAATTAATTATTTAATTGGAATACAAACCAAGCCAGAGCTTCATTCAGTTTTGCTACCTCTAACGAAGAGGACGTTTTTGCTCAATTCGCTGTGTGTTGAAATAAAAAATTGAATTACAGCTTAGACTGTGCGGAATAAGTTCCTAACTCTAGTAGAGACTTCTGTTATTATCAAAGGATTATACAAATCTCCTGTAATAATGGTTTCCTACTTTATTCCCCGTGGCCGTTTCCTCATGAAGGCCGGCAATTGGCGCCAAATCCATCAAAAGCAACAACAGCAGGTGCAACAAAAATCCGGCAAATGGCCATTGATTAAAAATATACGCCAATCATTTTCCCAAAAGGCTGGTGCCGACCCTAAGGTGGAGAATTTAATTAAATCAAATACCACCCTGCACAAACCCGCCCAAATACGCACCCCTCCCTCGGTACAGGCTAAACGTCAACAGGACCTGCAAAAGAAACGTTTCAATATTTTCTTGAGATGGACCGGCTTTCTGCTGAAATTTGCACCCGTTGGGATCTGCGTTTTCGGTGCAATTGAATGGCAGCTACACAAACAAAATGCCGTCAAAGACCAAGTACCCCATACCGCTTCACAATTCCAATCGAAAGTCTATTGTTCGTTGCCCTTGAGACTGCTGAGTAGAGCCTGGGGATGGCTGGCCGCTTGTCAAATTCCGGAGAATCTAAGACCCTATATATATGGCTGGTATTCGAATGCATTTAATGTGAACATAGATGAGGCTTTGTATCCCGACTATAAACACTACAAAAGTTTATCGCAATTCTTTACGCGACCCCTAAGGGAGGGGGTAAGGCCGATAGATGAAAAGGCGCCTTTGGTTTCACCGGCGGATGGAAAAATTCTGCATTTTGGTACGGCCTCAAAGTCGCTGATAGAACAAGTAAAGGGTGTCAATTATAGTATACAAGATTTCTTGGGTCCAGCATCCTGGGTGGATAATAAAACCGCCAGCGAGGCTGAGGATTATTCGGATATGATTAAACACAAACGTGATGGTTCGACAAGTCTGTATCAATGTGTCATCTATTTGGCTCCTGGAGATTATCATCGTTTCCATTCGCCCACCGAATGGCAGGCTGTATTACGCCGTCACTTTACCGGTGAGCTGTTGTCGGTAAATCCCAAAATTGCCACATGGTTGCCAGGATTGTTCTGTCTCAATGAACGTGCCCTGTATTTGGGTGAATGGAAACATGGTTTCTTTAGTTACACAGCTGTGGGTGCCACCAATGTCGGTTCCATGGAATTTGTTATGGACAAACAATTGAAAACCAATCGCTGGTTGGGATGGAAAAATCAACATGGCTATGAAGAATTGGCCCTGGGCGAAAAGGTCGATCTGAAAAAGGGAGAATTGGTGGGTCTGTTCAATATGGGCAGTACCATTGTGTTGTTGTTCGAGGCCCCAACCAATTTTAAATTCAACATTGAAGCTGGTCAGAAAATCAAGGTTGGACAGCCATTGGGTTATTTGGAGTAGAGCCGTAGAAGAAGAGCAACCAACTTAAATTTCCAAGCAAAGAGTCTAAAATTTAATTTCAATAACTTTTAGTTGTTGAAAATCAAAATGGAATGGATGGAGGTGTGAAAAGCAATGCCTCAGCAGCCTGTAGATAGATGTTGCGGCAATGGAAGATGATGATGGGCTACTATGTATGTTCCATATATAGTATTTTGTGTGTATGTATTTTTTATTTTGTTTTGGCCATTTGCACAAGATGGCAGCAGGTGTAAATATTTTATATTTTTCCGATTTTGGGAAAAATGGGAGTTTTGGTCTTGACTCAACAATGATCAGGAGCATAGATAGCTGTGTATTTAATTTTTATGGTTTGTTAAGGCTTCATTTTGAAGCCAGCGATAATAATGTAACGAAAAGCTTTGTATATTATTTTTAAATAGAACTACTTAATATCCTACAGAACACAACATACAACATTTTTTGCCATATAAATATTTGATTTAATTTATTAACAATCAGGCCATCCAAACACAATGTCCGCCCCCATGTTAATTGAAACCATAAACATCAAATCTATTTAATTCATAACAACACACACATGTATGTACATATAAATTTATCAGAATTGAATGTCATTCGGTCATATGTGGTAGGCAATTTCTAAAGCCAAGACTTTTTGATAATTTTTTGTTTTTGAAACTACATTTTCCCATTATGATAAAATGCCTTAGCTAGCTTTTTATCAATCACCCGCACATTGTGCCTTGCGATAAGAAAAAAAAAACAACAACAACAAAACCGTATTTGAAATTATCTTAATTTTTTTAAGTATAATTTTTCTATTTAACTATTTATTCATTTAATTAATTTAATGCCATTTACTTCTTATTATTAATATTTATCCTTTGTTTTCATCGTATTGAATGAAAACATTTCCTATACTACTATTATTAAATAATTTATTATATATATTTTGTTTTGTATTATTTTTTAAGACTTAATGAAATATATTTTTTCGGCATATTGTTTTGTATTAGGCAATTGTATAAAAAATAATTAAATTAAGATTTAGAAAATTACATTACACTGAAATAAAGATTGTTTACGAAATATATAAAATATAAATTATTTTTTGAATTTTTATTTGGGGAATAACAACACGCATATACAACCTTTGAGGCTGTGAATGGAATATATACAATCTTTTAATTCGAGCTTACAAGTAAATGTATTTTCAATATTTCGTAATTAATTTAAATTACATCTTCTCAATAATCTAAAAAACTGGACTGGACAAGTTGGAATGGATTTGTTATGAAAATCATCAAAAGGTATAACATAAAAAATATGAAAAATATGCTTGGTATATATGTATGTATCGGAAGATTAGAAAAAAAAAATTGTTTGGATTAGAGAAAATTGTTCACCTTTATTTTAAGGTAAGATTTTCGAATTATAAAATTAACTTATTTATAATTTTTTAAAAGATTTATTTTAGGGAGTTCTGGACGGCGAGAAGAAAAGAGACGCGTATCGTGTGCGGTTTAAATCATTTCATTTCATTTGAAATTTTATATACTATTTAACTTCTAATTATTACAACTATGTATACAGTAAAAAACCCTCTATTATTTACGTTTTTTTTTTTTTTTGCCCAAAATAGATCTCCCAGACACACACCCTTTTTTATGATTTTCATATTATTTATTTTTTATATTATTATTAATTTTTTTTATTTTTGGCGAATATGAAACCATCTAGCTATCTCTAACCGGTCTTTTAAACATGTAATCACGCTGAATATAGCCATTTTGTTTGTTGTCAGGGTTAGATTAAAAGGAAATGGGGTCAGATAATAATAAACGACATTTGATAATTTGTCCTAAACTCTCAATTCGTCGTAACAACTGAAATAAATAAATAAATATACATAAAAAGTGTGCAACATAGAATGTCTTGGTCCACAGTAAAGCGGAAAACATATTGATATCTTAATATCAATTTGCCTTCAAAATAAATGAATGCGTTTGCTTTTTATCGAACATAGCTTGGCTAAAATCGTTCGTGTTTGCTGTGGCAGCAAATGGGATTGATCTCCGCTTGGGCGATAACATTTTGGGAAAATAGACAAATATTTTGTGTATGAAAGGCTTTAGTGAATATTAAAGTTCTGAATAATACATAGCCTGAGATAAATTCTATATTAAACTTAAATTAATATAAATAAATAATTTTACTTTTATAAAAAATAGAATGAAGGCTCCCCAGACATAACAAATAAATATAGATTTCGACATATGTATGTCCAATAAGCGGCACATGTATCAGAATATCCTCACATTATTGTAGGAAATTATCAAAATGACATAAAACTTTCAAAGGGAAAACATTGTTACTATGTAAAAAAACATGTAATTCAAGTGGAAGGGTGTTCCAACATCTCGCAACTCTAACAAAAACATGTGAAAAAGCGTTAAGATATACTGACAGGTACTTGAAATGAAAATATGTGCGTGAAGATAAAATCGATTTTAACTAGCAAAGACACGTATAACAGACTTTAGTTCAGTATAACAGATTTTAAAATCGTTTTTATAACAATTTAATGACCAATTGTGCAATAAATATAAATAAAACCGGCAAAATATTAGCACTCCCGGAAAGGCAATTCCAAAAGCTATTTAAACCCGCTTAACTGAAAAAAATTAATCATGGTTTTATTGAATAAAAATAGATATTAGTAAAATTTGAAAAGTTATCATCAATGCCCATTGTGCGAAATCTAAAAATGTTACAGCAATATGGAACCCGGCATTGGAAGGACCACTAGGCGTACTTTCAGAAAATGCATATTAAAATAATTAAATTAAAAAAAAAAAAAATCCAAAATGGATTTTTATAAAATTATGCATTTTCTGAAAGTACACCTAGTGGGCTTTCCAATGCCGGGTTCCATATTGCTGTAACATTTTTAGATTTCGCACAATGGGCATTGATGATCGATCTTCTTGCGCAAATCCACCAATTTGGAAGACCACGTTCCAAGATGTTGTTTTCTACTTGGTCTTTCCATCTAATTCGTGGTCTTCCCCTTCTACGGGAACCATCAGTAGGCTCGTTTTTATATGCCTTTTGAGCTGGGGCATTCTCATTCATCAGCACAACATGGCCTAGCCACCGTAGTCGCTGCAGCTCAATACTCGTGGTTCATTCGACGCCGATATTCACCTGCGTCAACGCAGATCGGCCCATAGATTTTTCGGAAAATTTTCCCTCAAACACCCCAAGAGCTGCCTCATCTGCTTGCGCAAGTACCCATCCTTCAGATCCATATAACAACACGGATAGTATCAGCGTCTTGTGAAGTGTGAGTTTGGTCTGGCGGGAGGTGGCCTTGTTTCTAAACTGCTTACTTAACCATAGTAGCATATGTTAGCCAACACTATCCTTCTCCGAATTTCAAAACTGATGTCATTAGTTTTATTTATGGCGGTACCAAGGTATATAAAATCGTTAACTACCTCGAAGCTGTAGTTCTCAAGTTCCACAGTTGGGCCGAGTCTACTGGACGTCTTGCGCGTTGATACCATCAACTTGGTCTTCTCGCCATTTACTGCCAAACCCACTCTGATTACTTCTCAATATGACCAAAGATGGCTGTTACCGCTCACAATTTCCGAACCATTATATCGATGTCGTCAACGTAGGCGAGTAACATGTGTTGTTTGGTGTACAGTGCTTAATTCCGTATTGGGCATGCATTCCTCTAGCCAAATTGTACTAATCAGCTGTTGCATGCTCCTGACAAACACCTGACGTCGAATAGTTCGATAGCCGATAGAGTGTTATTCTGACATAATCTTGGCTATACCGTCATCTCTTATTGGTCCTGGGGTATGCTATTCACGGCTACTATTTGATACCAGAAGATTTTCAAAATGCTCCTTCCAGATCCTCAGCACGCTGTCAGTATCTGTCACCAGCGAGGGGAGGTCAGTGTCCACAATTGAGATGAAAGAGGGACCAAGATAAGCCTGGACTTCGCCATGTTAAAGCCAACAAGAGCCGTTGCTTGGTATCTATCATCCCCTACGTCACCGGACAATATTTCGCTTAACTGTCACCAAGTAGCATTTGAAAAACGAAAAGAAAAATCAAAAATTAAATAAAACAATTTTCCAAAAAAATGTCTCAAGCTCCCGTCAATGTTTCACCATTAATCAAATTGGCAAGATGGTCAATGTTAATTGCGGGTATTGGTTATGGTGTTGTACGTCACCGGCAATTATCGGAAATTGAAGTAAAAAATCACCAGGAGGAAGCTAAACAGAAGGCCAAACGTGAGGCTCGTTTGCAGGAAGAAAAGAAACGGGTGCATGAGGATGAAGTTCAAGCCCTAAATCTGTTATCAAGATCTGGTGGTGGTGGTGCTGGTGGGCAGGGCAAAGGTCAGCATTAAATGTAATTCACTACAGACAGTTTCCAATAAAATGAACAACAAAAATTGATTAAATAAAAAAAAACTGGACTGAATCTTATCATCTTTTGAATCTATTGTGGGAATGTGCTTTCTTTGCTAGTAATTTGTTTCGCGACTCAAACCGACAACGGGAACGATGAGAGAGAACACACAACAACCACAAGAAGAAGGAAAACAAAACACTTTCATACAAAAATGTTGAACCCGGACCTAAATTGACCAGACCTCACGCCACACTCACTGTGACGTCGAAACATCTGATCAGAGCTGAACTGAACTTCTTCCCTACACAAGTGTGTTCCTACTACAATCTCTACTACGGCTAGTCACGGTGGCTAACATCCGCCAGGCAGCAGCAACAGCAAATCTGCTGTGGTCTGTTCGGCAATATCAGCAAACGATTTCGACGACAGCGTCGAGACCCTTAGTTTGATTAGGAAACTGAGGCTGTATCACCACTTTCTCCACATGGTTTTTTGTGTGGCTTGTGTGAATTGTTTAGGCAGACATTTTGTGTGTGCTTGTGTGTATATAACAATTAA